CCCCCCCCGAGCCACCAACAGCAGCAGCAGCACCACCCGTCCCAGCATCTGGAGCCGTAAGAATGAACTGCAAAGAGGGAAATGACAGCAGCTGTGGCTGCAGTGGCAATGAGGAGAAGAAGATGTTGAAGTGCGTGGTGGTCGGGGACGGCGCCGTGGGGAAAACCTGCTTGCTGATGAGCTACGCCAATGATGCCTTCCCAGAGGAGTACGTGCCCACCGTGTTTGACCACTATGCAGGTAAGAAAAAGAGGGAACTGTCTCTGTGACCGGGTGAACCATGCGCGAGGCAATACTCCAGGTGCAGCCGGGCCTGGCTTATCTCTAATGTCAGTACAGGGTGCAGGCCTGGCGGTGACCAGGTGCCCCACAGAACACACAGCCAGGGACCGTGCTGGAATTGTTGGGAAAACAATCTCTGCATTGATTTGTATTGTAATTCCCACCTCCATAAACTAAATAAATAACACTGGGAAAATACCCTGAACGGCCCTCTAGGCTGTGAAGCCGGAGCTTTTACTCAACATTTGCCAGAAGATTTATCAACTTTTGATTGTAAACATTTTAAAGTGTAGTGTAATTGCATCATAATTCTCTACAAAATAAAAACCACTAGACACACAACTAGTGAAAGAAATGTTCTTGTCACTTTTCATATATTAACCTGATGCCTTTCACAAATGAAAATGCTAAGGTTAATAAATAAAACATTCATTTTTTTTTTTACTATAATAATTTGGTCGTAATACTGTACTTTCATTTTCCTGAGGTTGCATACCAGGAGTAAAGTACTAAAAAGTTCTAAATATCAATTAGGCAATCTGTATATTGAATTAAAAGAAATATGTTTAACTGACATTTTTTAAAAAGTGAAAATAAAGAAACAAAATCTGAATCACTTCAAAGTATGGTCCAAAAGGATAAAATTGAGCATAAAATATTTTAACACATGACAGTTAAGATACTATAGTCAAAACTTAATTCTCCCAATGGACCATTATTGTTTGAGTGTTGTAAAGTGTGTAGTTAATACTCATCAGTGTGAAGGAATCGTCTACATGTTTCTATGTTAACTCTTACATTTTTTCTCTTTTAACTTCCAAAACAAATCTTACGAAGTTTCTCAAATGCAAATTCATGAAATTCTTTATGCTTATGGGGACCTAAAGTTTATAATTTTTGGAACATAGTGATTGGCATTACACTTATCAGAGATTTGAGATTTTGTAACAGAAAAATTTTTCTTCCTTCACCTTGGCTTTGGGTCAGGTTTAGCAGAGCGGAAATGACCCACAGGAAACCCATGTGAGTGTTTGCTTTGCTATGTGGCCATTTGAAATCCTCTTTCTCTAGGAAGTAGCTTCTTTTCCAGAGCTAAACAATCACTTAAGTTCCTTCTTCCTCCTACATTCCCGTGATTTATGACCATTACATAGCAAGCAGGAACAGAATCTCAGTGATTATAATATCCACTTCCCAACAGGATTTTCTATATTTGTAGAAATAAACTCTATTCTTCTGGAGGAGAATACTGTTGAAATTGCATTGATCATTGACAAATATGCCCATAAGGGGTAATAGTAGTGGGGTGTTAACTTAAGAAGGGAAATATCCATTTTGTATGAGCAACCAAGTAGAAAGAATTTTTTAATGTTATAAATCTTGGTTTTATCCCTTCCTCCTACCTACCAAAATGCAAAAGCACATCTCCTGCATGTAGCTTAACTTGATCCCCCAAGATGAGTTCCCTGCTCCATCTTCAATCCAGCCAATCCAATAACGATGATACAGCATTCGCACGGTGCCTTATTTTCCTACTCTCACTGTGCTATTAGCTCTTTAAGAGAAAGGATCGCGCCTGCCAAATGTAGTTGTCAGTTCCCAATCCTCGTCCTGATCTCTTAGAAGTTGTAGAGTTTTTTTTATAGTTTATTACTCTATTTCTTAAAACATTTTCTGCTATGTAATTGCCTACCCAACACTGCAGCCATATGGGAAGGGCCAGGGTTTGGATCCCAGTTGACCTAAACATGTCAGGCGCCTCCATGATCACAGAAGGCTGGATGGAAGATCATGACATGAGGACCCTGTCAAGGAACTCTCTATGTCTCTCTGTTTTTCTCTCAAAGGAAATCAATAAATAAACTTTTTAAAAAATAACACTTTCTTTGAATGGTTTCCGGGATATTACAGTCTCCTGATTTTTATGCCACTCACCAACAAATCTCTCTCCATCACCTCTGCTACCTTTTCTGTCTCTTCCCAATTAGTGTATTTTGGCATGTCTCAGTATTCAGTCCTTCAGTCAACTTCTCTTTTCACATTCATGCCAAGGTTGACTGTATCTAGTCTCACAGCTTTATATATCAATTATATACAGATAGCTCCAAAAATGTTATCTCTACCCTTGAGATCCAGACCTATGTATTCAACTTCCCATTTGAATATCTGACATCTCAAATATTATCTGTCAAAATGGAATATTTTTATTCCCCCAGTCTATTCTTCCCTTAGTATTACCCCTATATAAGTTCATGATCACTACCTTCCACCTGGTACCTGAGAGCAAAAGTTTTGGTATTGACTCCTTTCTTCCTTTGACAACAACCCCTCCCTCTCTATTCAATGATTATTATCCCTTCCTCCTACCAATCAGCTCAACACTCCAGATACATTCCAGACTAATAACTTGTCACCACTTCCATTGCCTTCACTACTGTCCAAGCCACCATTGTCTCTCATCCAAACTACAACAGCTACCTCCCAATCCAATGTGATGGTATGGCATTCACATGTTGCCTTATTTTCCTATCCCCACTGTGCTGTTAGCTTCCAGTCATTCCACTATCAAAAGTTCTCCACACAACTGGCAGAGGGACTATCCACAGAGTCAACTTCTCCAATCACTTCCCGTAACACTAGGACCCCATTTTTTTTGAGAAGTTTTTGCTACAGAGCACATGTACTCTCCAGAGAGATAGAGAGAGATAGAGAGACAGAAAGCGAGAAATCACCTCCAGGGGGGATGGCCACGCCACAATCCCTTCTCCTCCAATTCTCCTCTCGGGATCTTGGGCATGCACACACACGTGCCTTGTGTGAGTTTAAGCCACCGGCTCAAGGACTTGAACTGCAGTCGACTACATGGGAGTTTAGCAACATAGCCATTATGCTAACTGCTGGTACTGTAAGACCCCATCTTTTATCATGGTGTATAAGGCACTCCATGGCTTTGTCCCTACTCTTTCTCCAACTTCATCCCTTAACACTCTCCTCCTTTTTAATATTTCTGCTGTAGCTATGCTAGCCATCTTGCTATTCCTCGCATGTATTCACTATTTCCTTCTTTGAAGACTTCAGACTTCATACTTTTTCTTACCCCAGACTGATGCTATGCTCCCCAGATCCTTGTAGTTTCAATTGACCACATCATTTAATGCATGTCTATACACATAGACACACAATATTCTTTAACCTGCCACATCTTTCTTCATATTTAACACTAATTGATATTATACATTAATTTCTCTCTATATAGCTTCTAAAAACAGAGCCCAACATACAGTAGACCCTCAATAGTCATTTAACAAATGAATTAGTATGTCTTTTTTTATTTTGAAGAATTATTTATTTATTTATCTCCACATGAGTTTTGCCAGAAAAAGACAGAGAGAGAGGGAGAGAAAGAGAGAGAAAGCAAGCCATCAGGTCTGGGACTCGAACCATGGTCGGCCATGTGGGAATTCCAGCTCCTTAACCACCACACCACATGCTGGCTCCAGTGAATTAGTATGTCTTAATCATCTTAGTCCCTCCAGTACTTAGGTACTTCATGGTTCATTAAAACTTGGATGAACAAATTAACAAATTGATGATGCAACAGATATCGCTTTAAGAATAAACATTTAAAATATTTATTAATTTTTTATGTTTGAACTATTTTGTTTACATTTCAAGTAGTCATTTTATGTATACAATCCATTTAATTAATTACAGCATTGAATTTTCCTGTCCTAAGTGGACAGCATCAAATCTATTGAATAGTGTAACTATGTGATGTAACACTTGAGATTTACCAATTTGTGTTACGTTTAAAATGAAAGAAAAATTTTGAGTGACCTACTCACATACTTGCAGTTCTTATATGTAGAACATACTCCAGAGTAAGTCCAGGTTCAAAGAAGGGGTAGGACTAAAGAGTAGGAGAAGTAGGATGAAAGTAGAAAGAGTTACTTATGTTTGTTACAGGGTATCTAAGAAACATCTCTGACCCTGCTTCCAACTTCCTTCCAAGGATGACTCAAGATGTCCCAACCATTTTTAGAATTTTTCCAAACTTATCATGGAATAATCACATTTCTCTTCCCATCGTATCTTTATCCTATTTTTAGCTTTGCGTTTGTGAGAGGACACCGTAGTGGTAAAATAATACAATCAGTGATTGTTTCATATGACATGTGACATAGGATAAAACTTCCACTGCTAGTCTAGCTAGGTTCAATGTTGAGTTAGTATGTGCAGTTTGTATGTTTGGGCACATGGGTGTGTAAAATAAGCCAATTCCCTTGGAACTTGTTTGTGATGTGCCTGATTACCTATGTCTATCATCCTCTGTATTAAAATTGGCTTTGTCTGTAGACCTTTCTTCCATTACTCATCTCTCCTCAGATGTCTTTGTCAAAGGACATTGAATTTGGAAATTCACTTTAAACCATTATTTACAAACCCGGGCTGCCTATTCAGGAAATTAACACAATTCATGGAAAGAAGGAAAATCCAGCTACTCTATCAGCTGAGTGAGATGTGAAAGGAAGTTGTTTTCTGAAACAACTCAAAGTCAATTCAAATTTTTTCCTCCTTATTAAATAATGGGTCCTAGACATCGAGTCAGTTATTACCTTAATAACTAGCACAGAGAGGTAGGGGAGAGACCATGTTCTATCCACAAGGTCGGGGGAAAAACATAAAAATATTAAAGAGTGAATAAAAACAAATTTCTAGGCCTATAAAGGTTGTGACACAGTTCTGTCCATGTGGGGATATTTACTCAGGTATTTCTCTTTTGCTCTTTCTGAAACACCTGAGGGTCTCTAAGGAATGGTGAGACTCATTTGTAGCCAAAAGGAAACCTAAAGCAACTCTTATGGGACTGTGATATAAATCAATAGGTTTTTAAACTTACACAAAAATATAAAAGAAGTTTGTAAAAGAGGAGACAAAAAGGAGCCAGTTAAATCATT